GAAGCGAGCGACGGGATTTCGATTCCGACGACCGACAGCTTCTTACGGGCAACCCCACAAACCAACCCCCGAAATAACGCCGACACATGCCTTCTGTTAATTGGACTCCACAGGCAACTGTCCCTGCGGAGTTCTGAGGTAATATTTGTTGAAGCCCAATAAAACCCTAATTTTTTATTGTATAGTAGGTATGAAATTATTGTGTGGTAGGTGAGATAGGTGTGGAATTATTTGTAACCATTAGAATAGAATCTTAGTGGCACAATCTTAGCCATTAATTTTGGACGTGCCACTAGTATAAATAGGGGTGAAGTTTTTGAGTTTGTATCAAGCCAAGTAAAGGTGATAAATAGATGTGAAGTTTCTTCAATAAATTTTTATCCTTTGTCAAATCCTAAAATCTTCTTCATTCCTACAAAGTGGTATCAGAGTCTAAAGGTTCCTTTATAAAGCAATGAAAAATGGAGGCATGGTTTCCTTCCAAGTTTTGATGCTTAAGGAAGGCATCTACAATAATTGGTATATAGAGATGAAGGCCTTCTTGGAGTGCATGAAATTTAGGAGGTTGTGGAGAAAGTCTACGATGAGCCAAGCGACGAGTCCGCTCTATCCACAACATAAAAGGATAGCTTAAGAGACTTGCGAAAGAGAGAGAGACAAGAAGGGAAGGCTCTCTTCTTCATCTATCAAGCTTTAGATGAAGATGGTTTTGAGAAGATCTCAAGTGCTACTTTGGCCAAGCTAGCATTAAAGAAGCTCGAGTTGGTCTCTGATTACTTTCTAACCTTAAGAAGCCAATTTGATGCTTTACATATGAAAGAAGGTGAGTTGGTCTCCGATTACTTTCTAAAGTCATTACCATTTCCAGTCAACTAAAAAGAAATGGTGAGAAGTTGAAGATGTGGCTATCATGGAAAAGATTCTTCAATCATTAGATTTAAAATTTGACAGTATCACACCCATTCTCAAAGAGACCAAGGATTACAAGCCATGACCATATAACAACTTTTGGGTTCATTGCAAGCCCATGAAGAAAAGAAGAAGATGAATGCAGAGATTGCCAAACAACTTCTCATGATGGATCTCCAACCAGCTCAGAAATATGAAAGTTTCAATAATATTAGAAGCCAACATGGAAGCGGTAGTGGACAAGGTGTAGTGGACAAGGAGGAGGTCATGCTATCAGGGGTACTAACAATAACTATGAGAAAGGAGAAAGATCTATAAGAGGACGTGGTTGAGGGTGCTCAAACTTGAGGTATGATAAATCTCAAATTAAGTGCTATAATTGTATCATGTTCATGTATTATACAAAAGAATGTAGAGCACCTAAGAACAAAGTTAATGAAAGAGTCAACTATATAGAAAAAAAGACAGAGGAAGATGGTACTCACCTTCTAGCATACAAGGACAACAAAAGAGGTGAAAATAGTACATGGTACTCAGACACCAGTGCAAGAAACCATATGTGTACTCTCAAGAGGAAGACATAGAGTAGCCAATGATCGAGCAAGCAAGAGAAGAGCCTACTACTCCACAAACAATATAGTGGAGCTTGATGAATCAGTAAGCGATAATGTGTTATTTAAAGATGAGTCCAAGATAGAAGTGAAATGCAAAGGTAACATTCTCATTCATTAGAAAAATGGGAAGCATCAATTTATTTCTAATGTTTACTTTATGTCGATTATGAAGAGCAACATCTTGAGTTTAGGGTAACTCTTGGAGGAAGGATATGACATTCACTTCGAAGCTATACACTCCAAATACAGGGAAGACACCACAAGAAGCATGGAGTGAAAGGAAGCCCAACATCTCTCATGTATGAGTTTTTGGATGCTTCTCATGTACAAATACCCGATGAGAAAAGAAGTAAGCTGAATGACAAGAGTGAGAAGTTCATTTTCATTGGTTATGACACCAACTCGAAAGCCTACAAGCTATGCACTCCAAATACAGGGAAGACAACCATCAACAGAGATGTCTTATTCGATGAAGGAAGAGAATGGGACTGGGGACTACATGGTGAGCACTACAACATTGACTACAAGTACTCAAAGTAACTCATCGTCATCAACTTTAAGAGAAAATTCAAGTGAACGAGTATCACGCTTCAGAAGATTACAAGATCTTTTTAAGGTAACTATGAATCAAGATAATCTTACTCTTTTTTGTCTTTTTGTTGGTTGTGAGCCCATGGATTCTAAGAAGCTATACAAAGCAAGAAGTGGAAAGATGGAATGGATGAAGAAATTAAGGCAATTGAGAAAAATTACTCATGGGAGCCAGCTTCACTTCCTAAAGGGCATAAGGCAATTGATGAAGAAGTGGGTGTATAAAGCAAAGAAGAATTCCAAAGGAGAAATTGAAAGATACAAGAAAAGAAAGGTGGCAACAGGTTACAGTCAAAGAGCAGGCATCAACTACGATGAGGTATTTGCCCCTGTTGCTCAATTAGAAACTATTAGATTAATCATCTCATCGGCAGTTCAAAATGAGTGGAGAAGACATCAATTGCTCAATTAGAAACTATTAGATTAATCATCTCATTGGCAGTTCAAAATGAGTGGAGAAAACATCAAATGGATATCAAATGGATGTAAAATCTGCCTTCTTAAATGGAATACTTAAGGAAAGGTTTACATTCAGCAGCCACTAAGATATGATGTCAAAGGACAAGAACACAAGCTTGCTAAAAAAGGCTCTCTAAGGGCTGAAGCAAGCACCAAGAGCATGGAATACTCAAATAGACAATTATTTGCAAAAGAAAGACTTCATGAAGTGTCCTTATGAGCATGCTCTTTACATTAAGAATGACGATGAAAATGTCTTGATTATTTGTTTATATGTCGATGACTTGATCTTCTCCGGAAACAATCATAGCATGTTTGAAAAGTTTAAAGAAGTGATGAAAAAGGAGTTCGAAATGACAAATATTGAGTTCATGGCATACTACCTTAGTATTGAAGTCAGGCAAACGAAAGATGGGATTTTCATATCTCAAGAAGGTTATGTAATGGAGATGTTGTAGAAACTCAAGATGGATAATAGTCGACCTATAAAAACCGCTGTAGAATGTGGAGTCAAGCTATCAAAGTATGATAAGGGAAAAAGAACTGATCCAACGGTTTTCAAGAATTTGGTCCGAAGTTTGCGCTACTTGACATGCACAAGGCATAATATTCTTTATGCTGTTGAATTTGTTAGTCCCTATATAGAGACTCTAACTGCTACCCACCTAAAGGCCGCTAAAAGAATTATGTGCTACATCAAAGGTACAATTGATTTTGGCTTACTTTACTCATCATCTAACAATTTCAAGCTTCTAGGATATAATGACAGTGATTGGGCTGGAGACATGGATGATAGAAAGTACACTACAGGATTTGTGTTCTTCATAGGAGACAATGCTTTAACTTAGATGTCAAAAAAACAACCAATTGTAACTTTTTCTACTTGCGAAGCAGAGTACGTGGCTGCAACCTCATGTGTTCGCCATGCAATTTGGCTTTAAAACCTATTAAGAGAGTTAAGTTTACAACAAGAATAGGCTATCAAGATTTGTATCGATAATAAATCTGCAATAGCACTAGCACAAAATCTAGTTTTCCACGATAGAAGCAAACACATATAAATATGTGCTATCACTACATCAAAGAATGCTTCGAAAGAAAGGAGATACAAGTATAGTACGTAAAGTCTCAAGATCAAGTTACAAATATTTTTATCAAGCCACTCAAGAGTGAAGACTTTATTAAAATGAGAGTTTGCTTGGAGTCATAAAATCAAGTTTAAGAGGAGGTGTTGAAATATAAATTTGTCTTTAGTTGTTTAAATAAAGCTCAATAAGTGCCTAATTCTAGAATGTGTTATGTATGAAATTATTGTGTGGTAGGTGTGGTAGGTATGAAATTATTTATAACTATTAAATTAAAATTATAGTTGTGCAATCCTATTCATTAATTTTGGAGGTGCCACTAGTATAAATAGGGGTGGAGTCTTTGAGTTTGTATCAAGCCAAGTAAAGGTGATAAATAGAAGTGAAGCTTCTTCCATAAATTTTTAACCTTTACCAAATCTTACAAGCTTCTCCATTCCAACAAAATTTTATCCTCCAGTTGTTTAATGTAATTGCTGAAAAGTACAAGAATCTTAGTCATATGTTTCGGCAATAATTTCTGTTCTTAAAATCTTTTCTTTTATTAAGAATGGTGCAATTAATATACTAATTAATTGTAGAAAGATCATTGAAAGATAATAAGATTGAAATAGGGAATCAGATGTTACTTGCTTGCGAACAGGGCAGCCTACAGCCATGGTGCATCGGTAGTATGCTCGCGGACAATTGCTCCCTTTCGCCATCTTTTGCCCATATTTCCTCCAATGGCATCCGTCCGTAATCTAAAATATTATTTTCGCAATTACCTACTTAATTAGACATAAAAAATTTAAACTTATTGATTCTTAAAAACAACACTTCTACTTATTGTGATGTTTATACTTATAGAAGAAATACACATTTTTCATTAACACGATTATTCTTCAATAACCATGGTAAGGAAGAAGCATTCTGAATAAAACTTCTAGTAGGAATACAGAGATATATTTTTTGTATTTTTTATAATTGTATTTAATGAATATAATATTTAAATTACCATGGGAGCATCAGAGCGAACTCTGACTGAAACGCGAGCTTTCCTGATAGTGGACTCTTGTGCTTGCTCGCGGCTCATTGAAGTAGACGAAAATATGGGGAGAGTCTCCTTCCCTTCCTTTTGATCTCCATTAAAGCTGCTTTTTAAAGCACAATAATCTGCAGTAAATCTTTCCTCAGCAGACGAACGGCCATCATGATCATGCCAGAACTTCCATGGCACGATTCTATATCTTCCTTCTTCGTTTGATTCCATTTTCTCATCCGTGACCTTCATTATTTAATTTACCATCATGAATTAGCAAAATAATAGCGTCAAATTTAAGATAATAATTACCGCATAGCTCAGATTGGTGTTTTCGTTTATGCATTTATTTTTATTCATCACTTCAATGAATTGCATGTGAAGATAATTGTAGTTTTCATTCAGCCGTGCAAGACTGTTTTTTAGCCTCTGGTTCTCATCATCGATCTGCCTCATCTTTGCTTTCATGGTTGTCATCTGGCAGCACTTTTCCAAATTAAAAAAAAAATAATAAAAAATGATGGACAGAGCTGGAGAGAAAAATAGAAAACCAATATTAATAGAATACAGTCTGATAATAATAATAATAAAATTATGGATAAGAATTTAATTCATTTTTTAAAATTTTAAACTCTTAAATTTGAAACAAATAAAATTGATTTTTGCCCCTATTAATGAATCTAGGGATGCAATAAAATTTATCTAAATGAAAGTAATTTAGTCATTATGTAAAAATTGTTTATGTGCCAAAATAGAAGCAGATCACTATTCCCTGCCTAAGATATATAGTGTGATAAGCATATAAATATAATATGTATATATAATTGGGTATGATTTTTATTTAAGTATTGCTTACTTTGCTCTTTTTTTCATCATTAGTCCGATAAGCTAACGGAAAGCCATCCCCTAATGAGAGATCGCTACCACTGCCAGAAAGAAGCTGCAGTCCGGTCTACAAAGAACAAAAAACAGACAAAAAATTAGCTCACTATAAATTCACATTAAATTGCATGAAGTTAAAAAATAAATCTAATCGATTCTATCATTAAAGTAGACATAATTAGAAATTAATAAAAATTATAAATTTCATAAAACCACTCAGAAAAAGGTTTAATTTCGTCACAGAAGACCAAAAACAAAATCTTAAAATCTATTTTTAAAACAAAGTTTCTATAGCAATCAAATGGATCCATAGAGAAGTTTCAGAACCGTTAAAAGCAAGCTTAGTGGTGCAGGAGAAACTAACATCAATGGTGACATCATTCTGCTCAAGGATTGGATGCTGATACCCTTCCTGTTCCGTTTCAGCTCCGATCTTCTCCAATGAAAAAAAGTCCATTTCGTTGATCACTGTCGGGCTCTCGTCGGACTCCATTGTCGGCTCGTTGGCTGGTCAACGGTGCCCTTGTATTAAACAAGATAAGAGAGGAGGAAGAGCAATGAGAGAAAGAGAGAAGAGCTTGCTACATAGCATTTCAGGTCTGAGGTCCTTCAGGCGAATTATATATGATTGGAACGAAGGGATTCAGTCCCTCTGTTTGTTATTATGCCGTTAATTTCTCTCAGCCGTCTAATTCAATTTTGATGAACGGAGAAGATTGTTTTTATTTTCTTTTGTTGTTGAGATTTTGTTATATTCCTCCTATAATTCACGAAGAAGTGGACAGATGGCGGGAAAGACATCAGACGGCGGGAAGGCGGTTGGAAGAGGGATTCGTGGTTACATAACGGCTTAACAGATCGTTCTCTGCGCTGCAGCGAGCCCGCAGGCGAGCTTGGCGAGAGACAGGAGAGAGCGAAGCCGTCAAACTTTTGTTTTCGTCGTGAAGGAGCACCGGCCGTTGTTGCCACATCAGCATAATGTGAACTTTATTTGTTTCAAGTTCGAATTATTGAACCAACGCAGACAGATTATTAAGTTGTAATAATTCTGATTAAATTAGAAAAGCAATTTTCATCGCTATGGTTTTAAGAAATTGAGATATATCAAATTATTAGTAATAACTATTAAAGCAAAAATTTTAAATGATTTTGAATTTATTAGCATATCGAAATCAGACGATTTCAAACCATTAAATATAAAAAAAATATCACATGCCAATTTTTTGTGCGTATTTTTATAATAACTCGATCTTAATATTGGGATCCAATCTTTTTTAATTCAGTTTCCTTCTAAAAATAACTATCTATCCAACAATTAGTCATGAATTTTAATAGAAGAAATTATGGGAATTAACATATGGACATTCTGAACTCGGATTTTAATCAACTACAAATTGAAAAGAATGTTTTGATGATAAGAGTTACATTTAATCTGTTTTTTCAAGTCCAAATAAGCTCTCCAGAAATAGTGGAGACTGATTATTGGCGATTCACCAGGGTTATTGTAGTAAAATTAAGAGAGAAAATAGATAAAATAGTACAAGAATCGTCCGACTGATATCGATATGTTGGTTGTCCCTTCTTGCCAATTGACTATTTTGGTTGGCGCGTTGCTATTCAATTGTTGATGCATGGTCAGTCGTCCCGAGCGACACCGATCGCCTGGGTTCATTTTCAATGATCCTCCTATGTTTTGGATTGCAGATCGATCCGGTGATTTGGTACCTGGTCGGTCGATTGATACTCATTTTCATTTGGTACCTGGTTGGTCGATTTGGCACCGATCTCCTTTCTTTCTCCGATCGTTATACTTCTTGTGATCTGTGTTCTGTTATTAGCCAATCAATTGATCTTTTAGCGATCGTCGTAGCCGCAGGTAGTTTAATTGCTTTGAGAGTCGTGATGTCATATTTTTCATATACTTATTTAATTCCTTTATTTCTTTGCTTCTTGAATTTCTGTCAGGCATCGGAACAAGTATCTTTTTTACTCATACAAATATATGAAAATGCAAATGACATAAATACTCAATAAATGACTTCCCTAGATTTTTGCGCCAGACTGCTATGAATAGGTCATAGAGTCAGAGAAGGTTTGCACAATACTCTCTCTTCTCCTGCCTTCAGCCTTCTCCTTCTCTGCTTGAAACTGCTACAATGTCCCGTGAAAGGCCCTCATCTATCAATAAACATGTGCTCCTTAAGGATCTTGTTGGTATGCGAGCGAAAGCCCGAAGACTGCATGTGAAGCGGTGGCCGGATAGTGAAGCTCCCACAGAAGAGGTATGCAAAAGAAGAGTAGTGCAATTGTTGAAAGCAGATGATGGTGGTGATCAGATTGGGTCCATCGACTCTCTTGCAGGCTCATCGCAAGAGCAAATTCTGGAGCGAACTGAAAGTCACCTTGACAATCAACCTATTGGTAATTTATATTTATGGACATTTTTACCCGAGTAAAGGCGAGGTCTCTTCTGCCTACTACGAGGCATCCATCACTCAGACTTGGATGGAGGTGGTGATGACTAAGGCAGAGATATTGTTTCCGCCGCCGAAGGATGGCCTTCCTTTTGTAGGTGGAGAGCTAGGAAAAATCGGTGAGGACGCTAACTCCTACACGGACATTTGAGTGGAATCGAATTTTGGGTATGTTTCTTAAATTGTTTTTGTGATGTTTGTATATATTTTAGTGCAACCAAAGAAATCCTGATGATCGATTCTCTTTTATCAGATACAAATGCGGACCTTACGGAGGATGCAATCGCTATGGAACATTCTGCAACATGGGGTGTGGCTATCATGGAACAGGTTGTCACAGATGATGTGACTGTTGTGGAGCAGGTTGCTATAGAGGATGTGGCTATCATGGAGCAGGTTGCTTCGGACCCATGAACGGATGGTGGGAAAATGCATCTCCGTGGAGTCTAAAGTTTGGACCTCCAAGATACCCCTGACATGGCAAGGGAGGAGGAGGTGATTGAGGGTCGTTGGGCGTCTTCCAAATCCTTCTTTCCCCATCTTGCAAGGAAAGAAGAAAATTTTGCACATACCATGGGATATCCCTGGGAGGATGGTGACATGGGAGTCACTGAAGTCCTTATCAGAGTCAATCATATGGAGAAGAAAGTTGCTAATCTACGTAAGGAGTTTTTTGCTTTCCAGGGGCAGATGTTCGCTTCTCTGGAGGAAATGGTGTGTCTCTGTTTGGAGTTGTTGGCTGCTAGAGGAAATTTTCTCGCTCAGTGGAGGGATGGTTAGATTGACATTTTTAAGTTGAGTGGCAATTTCATATATCAGAGACTGCTTAGCCAAGGGTTTGCTCGGGTGGAGCAGTAGTAGACTGCTTAGTTAGGTTTTTTTTTTCTGAATAACTTCTGAGGGTATCGTTCAATGTACTTTCTTTTGTACATAAATAAAATATAATTCTTTATTTATAGTCATGGCTAGCTTACTTTGAATGCCATATGTTTCTGTTGTGTCAGTTTTTTTGGTGATGTTTCATCTTCCCATGTCTTGAATTCAAATATGTGTGTGAGTGGCAATTTTGGGTTTATTCACTCCTTCCTATTTCTATGACTTGTTATTTATTTCTCTCCCCTATTTCTTCTGGCATAACACTTTGACATTCATGTCAAGGAAGTTATGTGAAAAATCATTCAGCTCAATTCCTGTTCTGAATATTTTTATTCTTTTTGTGGTGGAGGTGAAGGAGATTCAAGATCTCTACATTCTTGATCCATTTATTTACTTTCAGTCGAAAACTAACCATTAGTGAGCCACGGTCCAATTGGCCTCTAACTTGGTTTTCTTACAAAGATCATTTCAAAATGGGTCTTCTACTTCTAAAGAGAGCTGAAGTCAACCTTCAAATGGTGAATGATTGTTCCTGCTCAAGTTCTCCCAAACTCAGCAGCTGCCATCATGAACATTGATATCGTTTTGGATATAATTAATTTCTTCTTTATTTCACAAAAGTTTTTGAATGAAACTACACTTTAATGGAAGATATTTTTATATTTATGATGTTGGTATAACAGGTAGGAGCATTGGAATGATTTTTGATAGAATTGGAGAGAAACAAAACCAAATGGAGCATAGGTGTTGATTCTGGTCTAGCACCTAGCGCCTACTTTTGGGCGCCAAGGTATTGCAGATGATGGACTTGGCCCCTGGTCCTGGGTGCCTAGGTGCCCAAGCTTCTCGAGCAGAAAAAGAGCACGACAGTTAGACGTCGCAGACTGGGCGTCTAGGTGTTGCAGTTCAGATAGTTACTTTTTGCACGACTCCGAGAGTTATTTTATGGGCGCTGATAGTTTAGACAGGGAGTTTCGACAATCTTATGAATAGGGAAGAAATTCCATGCACAAAAATTCTCCAAGGATTTTTGTTATGGGTAGGAATGTTTGTTTTAGAGAGATTTGAGGGGAGAATTTGAGAGAATCTGTAAGGGGTTTACAACAACATCTTGTGTAGCACTGTGAAAGCACAATCAGGTGGAATTTACTTCTCTTTTCAAAGGGAAAAAGCTAAGTATCATGTATCTCTTATTTGATTATTGTTTTAATAACATATTTGGTTAATTTTATTAGATTGAATGAAGTTTTCTTTGACGTTTATTAAGTGTAGTGAGTAAATTTCTTAAACTTTTCTCTTGTGATATAAATGTTATATTTGTAGGGTTGTGAACGCTTGGAATTAATCTTTATTTTCATGTGATGAGTATATCTCTAAACTTAATTTACATGCTTTACTGAGCATATAAATTGTTAAAATTCATTGAGACCTATTAGAAGAAGAGCGGCTGCGAAACAACATAGAATATTCACATTGTGCAAATGGCTATGAAAGATGAGTCATGGGGCAATGCAAATTAGGGAGATGCTTATCGATATAGTTTGCTTTAGGATTTTGATGGATGACAGACGAAAATAATAACCTAAGTTTGAATCATACTTATTTATGCACTCGATAGAGAGTAAAAGAGTCTTACTCTCTTGTTGTCACTACCACATTAAAATTCTTAACATTAACACCTACAATATACTTAGAAAATAACAAGAGAGAAATACCTTATTAATATTAAATTTCACCTTTTTAATTGATCTAGGTAAGTTTTACTTAGGAGTAGAATAACACTTAGGACTAGTTATTAGAAAAGCTATATTTAGTGATCTTTCGAACTAGGACCTGAAAGTAGTAGGCTAGAATTTATCCTAGGGTTGATATTATCATGAAACCACTACCACATTCCCCTGTGGGATCAACATTCTAGACTCAAGTAGAGCCCTACTTCACGAAAGCGATGTGTGCACTTATGTATGTACCCTAAAACTTAGGTGGAGATTGTGAATTAAATTAAATTATCATCAAAGCAGTGGCAGTTGTTGGGCCCGTAATGCTTTTTTAGCGCCGATGCCGGGGAAGAAAGGAAGGAAGGAAGTGTTGATAAGAAAAACGTAAGGAACATTTCAGTTTAACATGTAAAACTTAGATTTGAAAATAATAGTATTACAACATAATTTTAGTTACTGCGTGTATTTTTAAAAATAAAAAAAAGGCCAAAAATATTTTTGAGTGTTT